GATTTATTCTGATCATCAAACTAATTCATGATAAGGTCTGAGGGAAGAGGGTCTGGGGGTCTGGACGACCAGGTCTGAGGGAGGAAGGTCTGGGGGCCTGAACTCCTGGGTCTGAGGGAGGAGGGACTGGGGGCCTGGACTCCTGGGTCTGAGGGAGGAGGGACTGGGGGCCTGGACCCCTGGGTCTGAGGGAGGAGGGGCTGGGGGTCTGGACGACCAGGTCTGAGGGAGGAAGGTCTGGGGGCCTGAACTCCTAGGTCTGAGGGGAAGAGGAGGTTGGGGACCTGAACTCCTGGGTCTGAAGGAGGACGGAGCTGGGGTCTTGGGCTTCTGGATCTGAGGGAGGAGACTCTGGGGCCTGGCCTCTGGGTGTCATCCTTACCCTCTCTCCCTCCAGGGTGCAATTGTGGCTGTGACCGGGGATGGTGTGAACGACTCCCCCGCTCTGAAGAAGGCCGACATTGGGGTGGCCATGGGCATTGCTGGCTCTGATGTCTCCAAGCAGGCAGCCGACATGATCCTATTGGACGACAACTTTGCCTCCATTGTCACGGGGGTAGAGGAGGGTGAGTTGGCCAGGGCTGGCCCTGGAAACCAGGGTCACTGCCAGAGGCCTGAGACCAGCAAGGGGAACTGGCCAGGGCTGCAGGGGGATGTGTGGCAGAGACCACAGCCCCCTTGGCCCTGGAGGAGCTTGAGGCTGTCTTTGTCTGTCTTCCTTCCCTGTGGGGTCAGAAGCTCCCCTGGGCAGGACTGAGCTGACATATTTCAGGGTCCCCACATCATCCAGCCCAGGTCCCATCTGGTGGGTGAAGCTGACTTGGAGACTTTTAAAAAATATCGGCTGGGCGCAGTGGCTCACACCTGTAATCCCAACACTTTGGGAGGCTGAGGCAGGTGAATCACAAGGTCAGGAGATCGAGAACATCCTGGCTAACACCCCTGGTGAAACCCCGTCTCTACTAAAAATACAAAAAATTAGCCAGGCGTGGTGGCGTGTGCCTGTAATCCCAGTTACTCGGGAGGCTGAGGCAGGAGAATGGTGTGAACCCAGGAGGCAGAACTTGCAGTGAGCCAAGATTGCGCCACTGAACTCCAGCCTGGGCAACAGAGCAAGACTCCATCTCAAAAAAAAAAAAAAAAAAAAAAAAAAAATAATAATAATAATAATAATACATACATACATACATACATACATACATACATACATAAATGCACTGCCTGGAAGTCCTTCCTCAGGTCTGCCTGCATGCCCTGCTGCAGTAGCCCCCTTCTCCCCTGCTTCCCCCAGAGGCCCCTTCCCGCAGCCCCTGGTCCTCTGGCTCTCCTATTTGTGGAGCTGGCCCCTCTGTTTCTCTGTGCTTCAGGGCTCACTGTGCCACTCCTCACACACCCTGACCTCAGCCATCACCCTCTCTGCTCTTCCCAGGGATGCCAAGGCCTGTGTGATCCACGGCACCGACCTCAAGGACTTCACCTCCGAGCAAATTGACGAGATCCTGCAGAATCACACCGAGATCGTCTTCGCCCGCACGTCCCCCCAGCAGAAGCTCATCATTGTGGAGGGCTGTCAGAGACAGGTGTGCTGCGCTCCCGCAGAGAGGGGGACGGGGCCTTGACTCCTGGGTCCTCACTGAGGCCGGGGCCTGGATTCCTGGGTCTGAGGGAGGAGGGGCTGGGGGCCTGGACCCTTGGGTCTGAGGGAGGAGAGCTGGGGCCCTGGACTCCTGGGTCTGA